TGTATGTATGTATGTATGTATGTATGTAAGTTTGTTTGCAGCAGGTAATCTCCGAAACTACTCATCCGATTTCAAAAATTCTTTCACCAATATTTAGAATGGAACCTCAGGGTGGACATAGGCTGTATATTATTCCGTTAAACATTCATATAAATTAAAATATATAATCTAGGTTAAGGCTTTTATGTCCAACAGATGGCGCTACGAGTAGGACGCCCTAAGTTTGATTTTCTGTGAGGCATAATGTTTTTCTGTGAAAATGAGCTTAAGCAGATCATGATCTATCTATTTATATAAATAAAAATGTAATGTTTGTTTGTTCCTACCGATTCCTTTAAAATTTTGACACAACGCTGCATTCGAATACGCACGTGTATAATATACATGTCGAAATTCCCCCTACTGAAGGGAGATGGTTATGATTAAGACTTACGGTAAAGAACTCTGCTTCTATTTATACTATTTTAGATGCAGGTTTTTGCGTTTTTGATTGCGTTTTAATAGGGTATGTCAACAGAATGTACACTAAGAAGGGATTTTTCGATATTCCCCCGCGGGGGAGAGAGACAGAATTAAGGCTTACAGTGAAGAACTTGGCTTCTATTATATTATTTTAGATGCGGGTTTCTGCGTTTTTGATTGCGTTTTAATAGGGTAGTCAAGGGAATGTACACTAAGACGAGATTTTTCGAAATTCCCCCTCGGGGGAGAAGGAAAGGATTTAGTCTTCATCGAGTACTTAGGTGTATTAAATCAGTAAAATTTCAGACATCGTTATAAATATTTTTACCTATTTTGATTTTAAAAATGTTCGAACCGTTTTAAATTCGAATTTGTTATTACGTATTGGTTCCATTATAGAACGATTGTAAACATTCCAGAAAATTGATCAAATTGAAAATAGTTCGTTTGATTGTTGGCAATTCTCAACATTTTCAGCGGTAGGTGTTATATAACAATTACTATGGTTATTGAAATACTGAATATAAATGGGGTTTGCTTGCAAAATTTGCGCGGGCAAAACCGCAGGTAACAGCTAGTTTTAATAATAATTCTTTTGAAAATATTCTATTTAACATAAATGATCAGCAACGATTTGATAATGAATGACCAGTACTGTGACGTCATAAAACTTACAAGCAGGCCTTGAATAACGATGGCCTCGCCAGAACATCTCCCCTCCTTACGGGAAACTCATGTCGAGTTGAAGCCATTAAATTGGTAACTTATTTCGTAAATGGGACCGGTGTAGCCGAGGAACGGGGTGAGAGACGATTTAATTGTCGCATTCGAGACCTAATTGACAGATCCCCGATCGCACATCGTAAAAACGAGAGAGGAATCATCTGCCGGGTATCTTTGGATAGTCACCTTACAGAGAGTTTGAAGTGAGACCTGCTGACGCTCCTATGGAGGGTGCGGCGACTGGGACAGCTGCGTCTTCTCCGGGACAGAAAAATACACATTAGAGTAAAATTTACGGGTTTGTCATCCGGAGAAGGGCTTGACTTGACTCCGGAGGGAAACGGCCCGGACAGGGGAGTTCGGGATTGTTCAGCGACCCTGTGGCTCGAATCGCATCACTGGCAACAGACACCAATGAAGTTTCAGTCTAACCAATACCTCGGGATTTCGGGTAAAAATGATGTAAAAGCCCGAAAACCGAAGGACACGGGGAGGTTTTTTTAATCTCTTTCTGCCCTGTGGGCAGTAAGAGGGCCTCTTTTTGCAAGCTTATTATGGGTTTGGCCAGGCCCACAATGGGGCTGCCGGATGGTGAGGTACGGGACCCGACATATCCGAACGGACCACCCCCAAAAAACTTTTTGAGATTTTTCGACCCGTTCGGATCGAACCCGAGTCCCCCAGAGCGGTAGGTTTTCACTTGATCGCTCGGCCATCCGCCGCATGACACGGGGAGGTTAGGAGTACTCGGTCTTGTAGATTCACACTCCCTCCGAAATACCGAAGACGCAAGGAAAGTCCCCAAACGCCACACGAGTGCGACAAAGGGACTTCGGACTTAACTACCCGGCGAGGACATCTAACCATCCAATCTTCAGCCACGCCTTACCCATGGAGACAAACTTTCTCCGGATACTGAAAAACTCATCATCGCATACAAACTTTTCTTCGGTGTGACAACTTCCAACGAGACGGTGATAATACCTCTACTGTAAGCATGTTTGTCTAAATAAACGCGTTAATTTTGTAAATTTGATCTCTATGTGAGTCATCTTTGCGTCCAACAAAACACTACTCCCATACGTAAAAAGGCTTTCTCGTGTCATACTGACAAATCGCGGGCAAAGCGAGGATCGTGACCTTTGCACTTTAGGATCGATCTCTAAGGCTAGTAGCGTCGGCCAACATCATCACCTTGCAGTGGTGTCACGGTCGCAGTTCCTCATACTGGTGCTGAGAAGTGAGATTTTAAATCCCCCGGACACCTCCGGGCCACCATCCTCGCCAGTCGGGTTACGTCCTCACTATAGTAATTAATTATATTCAATAAATTATCTATGTAGCACAGAAAATACAGTGAAAATAGAGTAATTTAAGTAACTTAGATTACTATTACTAGTATTTGCACTGTATAAAGTACAAGCCTACTTTGGCCTTTCGCAGGGAATGATATCATATTCCAAGTGTAATTTTTGAATGAAAAGAGTGCCGGAAAACTCAAGTTACGCTGAGTAAAATGTTTGATAAGTCACGAAGAAAAGTAACACTGTATATTTAGATTTAGATTTAGATTGTGCTGTTTCTGTTTATATTAAATTACAAAAGTAAAATGATGATTATAGAATGAAAAAAATAGCTCAGAAAAAAATACATGCAGACAATAATCAATTTATTTTTAAACACAAACATACTATCTACAAAAATAAATAAAAGATATTTTCGTGTCCGAAAAACAAAGTGTTTTACATGATTAATAAACTATCTTTTAGTATTAATTTAATTAAATCTGTTTATAAAAATAAATGTGGTTAAAAAGTTGTAATTGTGATAACATAACTTTTCAAGTTTATATTCCAGATAAAAAGCATATGGTCATAAAAGTAACACTTAAGTGTGACGAAGGATTTAAAATAGCTTTATAGTGGAACCAAAAATATGAAAACTGTAAACAAAGACTCATGGAGAATTTTCTCACCGAAGATTTTTTTCTTTTTAATCTTGTTTCGTTTCAGTTTGGTGGTGTTTTCGTCTTCTATTTTTGGTTATATAATTGGCAGTTTCTAAAACACATTTAAATTTTATACTGCTATTTGTGATGTTACGAAAATTTTATTTGTGTTAAAAATTTATTCTGAAAATAAATATGTTTGCGAATGACCGAAAAATGAAACGTTTTTGGTGCTTTTGATAATGACGATCTGTTTTTTAAATATTAAACCTCCAATACTGTTAGATATAAAATATATTTACAGTACTAATTATTCACTAAATGAGTAGTTAGATTTTAAAATATACAATACCTGAAGTATCAAAACAACAGTCAGTTTCCTATATTGAGCTTTATTCTGATAAAATATGTATTACTAAAATACTAAGAAGTTTCTCTTTTTCAAAAATTTGATATATCTCGATAAAGAAATCTGTCTGTTTATAAAAAATTTCAATTAATCACCGTGATTATTCTATAATTACTACCTGAAATTCCACATCAGATACGAATCTAACGAGGTTTTGAAAATGAAGAATCAGTATTAAACCATAATTGATAATAAGTCCAATTTGGCTTCCTGCATCATCTAAAATTGCAATTATAAATGCACTGTTACTATTGTATTATTGATAATTTACATTTAAATATTTCTACTCACCTGCATTAATTGAAATATGGAAAATAATAACAGTGATAATTAGATTTATAAAACAAACAATTTGACCGTATAAGGTCATCCATCGACTTAAACCCACGAAGAAAAACCATGCTGCAGTATGCTTATCCAGATAGTTATTAAACATAGATTTAAATTTACTTTCTGCATGGAAAGCCCTAATGGTTGTAAGTCCGTAAAGAGATACACTCAGATGAGAAAATACTGGACTTCTCGCTATTAAAAGAAATATCTATATATAATTCAATCATTTACGTGAAACAATCTTATATTCAAGAAATATTTGCTCATTATATTTAAGAAAGCAACTAAAAGTATTTATTATCTAAAATTAAAGTTTTAAATAAAAAGTATATGAAGCCTCCTGCGACGATATAATATATTCCTTTTTAATATTACTTAATTTAAATTAAATTTCAAGATATCCTTTACAAGATGTGTATATAACTACTGTGTATATAACAAGCTTACCCGTCGCGCATTGCTTCGATCTCAGAAGAAACGAAATTCAAGCAAACTCGTTATGATAAAATTCAATTTACATTTTATCATTTTTATTGAAACTTATAATAATAATAATAATATTATTATTCATTTCCATCGGGAAAACATTTCAAAATGTCGTTTCAATTCTATTTATTTATTGGAATGCTTGTGGATACACGATATTTTTTGTTTTTCCGTCTGGTGCATACAGAAATAAATCAGGTTTTCCGACACGTGAGCCGGCCACATACAGTTATCCACGCGAGAAGCACGGATTCTCCAAATCTAGACCACACACTCGCAACGATTGTCAGAAGTACGATATTCCCCACTTTTATATATTATTTTTAATCCTTTACAATTTTAATTATTTAATTGCTCCTTCCCGTTTTCCTTGGTATATTGTGAAATTTCTGATAGTTGGATAATAAACTGTTTTATTGTAATTTGTCTTTTTAAATTAATTTGAGTCGATATTAAAATTTGGAAAAGGGGATCCCAGGATCGGTAAAATAGGCGAATTTCCTCCTACAACTTCGGTTGTTGTTCGGGATACAGTTAAGGTTTTAACGAAGTTCGAGCGAATACATAATTAGCAAAAAATAGTTGAAATACAGTGATTAAAGAAAAAATGATTACAAATATCGTAAATAACAGTTCACAAATGCACATATAAAGATATTTTTTGAACGGGGTAAATGGTCTTCACAATTTGAAATCGATCGAACACACCAAGGTCTATATAAGAAGGTCAGGACACGCTCTCGTGATTCTATGTGGCAGCAGCCATTTTGGGACTCATCGATAGAGCTCACCATACGTGGTTACTGCGTGAGTCGACTATTATTACTTATATACGTACTCAAAACGTTAAGCAATGGGTTATTGTGTTGCACCTAATTGTAAAAGTAAGTCTAACGACGTTCGATTGTTCAGATTTCCTGCAGATAAGCAGAGGAGAGCGAAATGGGTGCAGAACTGCAAACGGGATAAGTGGCAGCCAACTGAACATTCCAAACTGTGTGAGGTTAGTGTATATCATGTATTTTTTTATACTTACAGTCTTGAAATGTATACGTGAGCTCACATTAAATTATTTGTTGTTCAGCTTCATTTCGAAGAATCGCAGTTTGAACTGAAAAGAGCTGACGGAAGAAAGCTGCTAAAATAGAATGCGATTCCCACAATTTTTAATGTGCCCAATCCTCCTAAATCTATTACGATAAGGAGGCCTATTAGGGAAAGAAAACTTCCTGAAGAAAGAAAAACTAATGGTAAGATTATTTAATTGCTGAACTGTTCTTTTTTTCATCTGAAATAAATATGACTGTTTTGTTTGAGTATTCTCGGTGTTTTATCCTGTAAATTGGCTGTTATTGAAAATTTTGTATGTTCAATTCCATCTGTTTTTGCAAGAAATGTTATATAGTATGAAAAAATAATTATTTTAACATGTTTTGACTTATAATGTATTTTTTATATAGCTCTAGTGGAGTCTTCCGTGAACCTTGCCATGACAGAAAAAACAACTGAAGAAAATGATGAAAACACTTCAGATAAACTAAATGAAAAACTTCAGTTAGAAAACAAGAGACTACAACTGCAGGTAAATGTTTTATTTACATTTAAAACAATTTTAGACCCACTTTTATTTTGTAATGTGAAACATGGAATGATATCTTATATTATGAATCTGAATTCTGATGTTTGAGTAGAAAACTGACTATACTTTTATGTAATGAAAACAATAAAGAAATCAGAAAACATTAAATAATATTGCTGTTATCTTATGCATGTTTAAATATAGCTGTATAAGATTTTAATGATACTATATACAGTATATATATCTATATATAATCTATTTTTTTAAATTTTAGATACAAAAACTCACTCAAAGGCAAGAAGCAATGGAAAATAAATTAAATTTATTTCTGAAACCAAATCAAATTCAATATTTGCAGAGAGTATCTGTAGCGAACCCATATAGTTGGACGAATCAAACAATAAAACAAGCAGTGCAAATTAAATGTGCAGTGGGCAACAAGGGTTATGAATTCCTTCGAAGCATGAATTTTCCTTTGCCTTCTTCAAGAACTTTAAATAGAAGGTTTGAATCATGCAAATTTTCTCAAGGAATTCAATACGACATTATTGAGTGGTTAGGAGTTAAACTACGGTCAGCTGATGAACAAGGCAAACTTTGTGTACTGTCATTAGATGAAATGCAGTTAAGGCCACATGTTGAATATGATAAAGGCTTAAAGAGATATGTTGGGTTAGTAAGTACAGATTTCACTGATTCTGATGAACCTGTAGTTGCAACACATGCTCTTGTTTTTATTGCAAGAGGCTTAACTTTGCACTGGAAACAAGTTGTGGCATATGCGTTAACAGGCAATTCAATTAATTCTCACAAATTATGGAATTTTGTGAAAAAAGTAATAGAAAGTTTGTATTTACAAGGACTTCTTGTAAAATGTGTAACCAGTGACATGGGCTCTAACAACACTGGTATGTGGGGGGTTATTGGAATCCATTCTATTAGAAATCATGTTAATTGTAAAATTGTGCANTGCAAAAGTTTTACTGCTGATTTGACGATTAAGCGGATCTAAATATAGTGATTTATTTGTTTTTATAATTATGCATAAATTAAGACTATTTTTAACACCGGTAGTCCAGAGGTAATTGCTAATGTCTGATCGTTAAAATATCTTTCTTATTGGCAAACTTTTCTTCCTGCGTAAGTATTCTCTGCCTGTTTTGTTTTAAGACGAATTACAGAAATTTTGTTTTGAAAAACCTTAATCGTCAGAAAAGAATAAATTAATTTCTGTTATGTAATTTAAGTCAATTTTAGTTAAATAGAGTGTATATGTTACAGTCAAAACCCGTTTTTAGTTAGAACGCGTTTTAACTAGTTGAAACTAGTTTATACTGAATGTCTTTGTTAAAACCCGTTTTGTCTAGTTAAAACTAGTTTATACTGAAATTCATTGNTATATATATTATGTTGTCCTTTTTACGAGTGTATATTTATCTTCTGTAAATATTTAATCTGAGAAAATACTCGTTGATAATATATTTTGTGAATGTTTTATTTGCTTAAGCAAAAGACAAAAATTTATGTATTGTCTGACATAATACTTTGCAGTTAAAACTTGTAAACTTGATTTTCGTCACAATTCACTTGGATATTGTTTAATAAACTGTAAGAATAAAATTCGTTCACGAAAATACTCTAAAATGGGAAGAACTTTCGTTATTTCAAAAGAACATTCAATCTTTCCTTACAATTATTTTTATTTTCTTATTATAAAATGCCTAAGTAAAAAGTAAACTTAATTCGTGGTTAATTATAATTTTATAAACTGTAGAAATAAAATTCGTTCACGAAAATATTCTAAAATGGCGAAGAACTTTCGTTATTTCAAAAGAACATTGAATCTTTCCTTACAATTACTTTTATTTTTCTTATTATAAAATGCATAAGTTAAAGTAAACTTAATTAATACTTGTACTTTTTAAAATATTATTTAATTAATATTAGTCTATTGTGAATAAAATGTATTAATAGGACTTTTTACTGTGATTTAACTTGAGCGTGAAATTTGACAGATTGAATAAAAAAAAATAAACTTTTGTTTGCACCTGTATACAAAATTTTCTATTGTTTTGGACCTATTCGTACCTCATCTGCAGATATTTTATAAGTTATTGCTTTTCGAAATATAATTTTTAAAATTATACAATAAAAAATTGTAAAATTTAAACCGTAGTTATCTACTTAAAAGTACTTTAGACGATTTACTCCTAACTTTTACACGAGTCTTCAGTTTTTTCTCTATTCCTGAAAGATAAAACTTCAAATACACGTCGTTTATTTCCTGTTGTAAGTTTTGACTGTTAGCCTGGTTAGAATTTTTTTTAATTAAAAAATTATAAACTATTTTTTTATAAATCTCCTACTAACGACTTTCTTTTCTTTAATTCTTCTATATTTCTGTGACTCTTGTGGCTGTCTGTACTTTTCATTCTTTTTCTGTTGATTTTAAATAGTATTACTAAGAGGGCCTCTATAAATGTAATCCGTGTCAGATGTATTTTTCCGTTTTTATTTTTGATTTTAGCTCGTTTTGTTATATTTATATGTTCATAATGTTGTCATTTAAACGTATTTTTTCTAGCTTCATTGCTTTAATTGATTCTCTTATTTCACATCCGTTCTCGCTGCAAAGACGTGCTACTTTATNTTCTATGAAGCTTTTTATTCTTTATTTAATTTAACCATTCTAATATTTTCCTAATATATTTATTTAATATTTTACTGTATTTTTTTATTTTTTAATGAGTAAATTTATACTCTTTTGTTTTATTTTATTACCTATTTTGAGGAAATCACTCTTCCATACCTAAATTATTGGTAAATTATTCAATGAAAAATTCGGATAACAAGTACAGTACTTTAATTTAAATTTAAAAGTGAATTTAATATTGTTCAAATTTACTTTATTTGTAGGCCTATTGCACATTTTCTACGTCATAGTATTAAAATTTATGTAAAAGTAAACCTACAATGTCACAGGAGACGAAACAATATAACTAAAATAAAAAATAATAATATCGATACCGCGATAATACTTTCTTTTAAATTTATTAAAACTTCTCATTAATTTGTGTAATCTCTCG